TGCTCTTTTGACAATGAGAGGCAGTTTTTTAACATCTTGGTGGCCATCTAAAAAAGTTTGAAACTGTGCCATGTGTTTTTAAGGATTGCAATTATAAGGTGAACAAATATACAACATTCCACAGCCACAAGAGTAGAAAACACAACCCACATTCCTTGGAAGATTTCAAGACTAATGTTCTTCATCAATACTAAAAGAACCCGGACGAAGAAGAATGTGACATTGTTGACAATGACAATGAATGTGGCTCAGTCCTTGAGGAGGATGAGGACTTAAACAAAATTATTACTGAGAAAGTGGGGCTACTCCTCCTGAAAATGGAGAGCATTTACAACGTCTCCAATTCATGCATTGACGAACTAGTAGAGGAACTTCATTTCCTTACAGCATCTGCATCTGGTCCAGTCATTAAAGAAATAATTCAGAGCACTCTGAGAAATCATGGCTGTACATTGGAAGACTCAGTGATTTCAGAACTGGTCAAAGACCTTTGCCGGCTAAGCCCTGTCTGTGCTGCTTTAAGAGTGGAAGGGCCTTTAAGCAGTCAGTTCAGGAGAGAGCAATTTAGAAAGGAGCATCTCTCATTGACTGAACCTGTTGAGTACATACTTGATAGTACAGATAATAAAACATTTCAGTATATACCAATCCTCCCATTATTATCTCAACTTGTGGACAACAGATACATTCAAAACACAATATTACAAAACAAAAGGCCAGCTGATGTCTCTTCAGAATACAAATCATTTAATGATGGATCTTTACTAAGAGAAAACAGCTTTTTATGTGAAGATGAACTTAAACTTCCACTCATCCTTTATATAGATGACTTTGAGATATGCAACCCTCTGGGAACGTCCCGTAAGAAGCATAAAGTCACAGCTGTGTATTGGGTGTTTGCAGACATACCTGTCACATTGAGATCTACACTGACTTCCATTTACTTAACCATTTTATGCAAAGCAAATGATGTCAACCAGTTTGGCTATGAAAAAGTTTTGGACCCACTGCTCAAAGATTTGAAGTCCTTTGAAGAAAATGGTATTTTTGTTTCAAGTCTGGGCAAAGTGGTCAAGGGCACTGTACTTGCTGTAGTCGCTGACAATCTTGGTGCTCACTCAATAGGCGGGTTTGTTGAAAGCTTTTCAGCTTCACATTTCTGTCGCTTTTGCATTGGCGAAAGGTCACAGATCCAGGAGCATGAAGTAGGAGAAGAACTGTTTCCTCTACGGACTAAGTCTAACTATGCCATCCATGTCAAAGCAGCACTGTCTGATCCTGCAGAAGCTCACCACTGTGGAGTTAAAAGA